ATTATGATCTGTCCATCCAATTTTTAAACCCCTTAATCAAATTCAGGGTCAGAGTGGAGCTGGAACCTATCCCAGCAAACAATGGGTACAAGGCAGGGTACACCCTGGATGGGATGCCAGTCCATTGCTGGGCACAGAGGGAAGCTCACTCTCAAAACAGAACTACCCCTATGACTTGGAAGGAAACAGGAACACCCAGAGGAAACCCACATAACATTAAGACATTAATGTTTATTATTACTCTATAATTGCTCTCTCAAACCTTCAGTCCTTAGTGGTGTGCTACCTGAAACATTCTTAACCTTCATAAGATATTGCACGGTGCATTGGATATGACAAAGAAATCTGCAGATTGCTTTTTGTACTACATGCTCGAATATCCCCAAACGTAATGCTCATGGAGATGGGTTCTTATCAAAAGTCGAACCCTTTTTGGTGGAAAAATAATTATCAAGGTAGTGGAAACAATCACAGAGTTTTCAGTCTTTCATTCCTGCAAAACAGTTCAACACAAAAAGTAACACAATACAGAGAGGTCCTGAATAAACGAATAAATGGCCACCTTTTCCAACCCCTTAGGTACATATTGACAGCATACTGTACGTGTTTTAAGAGGAGTTTGTAGGTTGAAATTCTGCTGGTTTTTCTTTCATCCTTTTTAATGATTAAATCCAGACCGGTTTATTATTAACACCTGACCCTTTCCTGAGCAAGGGACGTGTCCCAACGTGCACGCTGTTTATGTCATGAAAGACTGGGCCTTTGTAGACTCACCTGTTCTGAGAAACTCCACGTCACACTTTGCATATATTGTGCAATTCCTGTACTACGCAGAATGTATGATATTATCTTGTTAGGTTAGAGTGTGTGCGATTTTAGAAACGCGGTTATATTTGCAAAACAGGGAATTCTTATGATTTACAGGGAAAGGTTGTTTGCCTTAGACCAACTGGTTTAAAACTGGTGATAACCACCTGTGCTTGAGAATAGCTCACTGGTGGCAAACAATGTACTTGGACTCTCTTTCCCTCTCAGTGTTTGCCCTGTGACCCAGACACCACCTGTCTGGTGCCATAGTTACGGAGACAGCTTTTGTAGAGAAGGTTTCATGGCCTTAAGGCAACAGCTTTATTCTGTCCAAGGATCTTTTCCAACCTCATCACAGAACTGGACATTCTCTGTAGCCGAATATGGTAAATTGCAGTGTTTCACATATGATAAATTAACAAAAAACCTAAAAGATGTCACAAGCCATAAAGCTTCTAAATTGTGATGGACTGAATTTCTGACTGTCAGACTGAAGCCGTTTCATGCATGGGGATTATTAGGAGGCCATGGTTGGTAAAGGCCAGAGGGAAATCTGGCCAGGACACTGGCATACCACCCCTACTCTTTTCGAGAAACACCCTGGGATTTCTAATGACCACAGAGTCAAAACCTCAGTTTTACATCTATGGAGGACAGTGCCATTTTTTACAGTATGGTGTCCCCATCACTATATTGGGCATTAGGATCCACACAGACTGCAGGGTGAGCGCCCCCTAATGGCCCCACTAACACCTCTTCCAGCAGCAACCTTAGTTTTTCCCAGGAGGTCACCCATCCAGGTGCTGGCCAGGCTCACACCTGCTTAGTTTCAGTGGGAGATAGATCGACAGTCCATTCCAAGGTGCACGCAGACACAAACAGACATGCACACACTCACACAAGTCAAATAACCTACCAGCATGTCTTTGGACGCTGGGAGAAAACTAGAGCCCCCGGAGGAAACCCACGCAAACCCAGCGAGAACATGCAAACTCCACACACAGCACACCAGGGACTGAACCAAGCACTCCAAGGCAGAAATACTAAGCACTAAACCACTGTGCTGCACATTTTCCTTGAAATGTTTATTGGCTTTTTACTCAGGGGAAGAATAGCCATCCACAGTTATTGAATTTATTGCATTCTTTGAAGGCAAAAAAGCTTGCATCTGTTTTGTCATTCTTTACAAGCATGGCTTTGTGGTTATTGCTGATGTAGAACAAACGCACTCCCCTGAGAACCTCACTAGGTTTGTCACGGACCAAAGAAATGAATGCTGTACCCCAACAAAACTCTTGCCGGAGAACATCTTCCCATTTCAAATGACACCTTATGTTCTTGTGAAGTTCTGAAGTCACTCCTGTTTTCGTGCTTGAATTCTAATCTCTCCACTCCCTTTCAACATTGTGCGAGACTGAGGAATCTTGATTTCCTTATTTAAAACTACTTTCAGAGTGAACAGATGATGCTTGTCCGGCATTTGATTGCTTTGTTGAGCAGCTTCCTGAGAACAGAGAAATTTCCCAAATGTATTTCGCTGTATTTTTATGAAATCTTAAAGGAACCAGAACTGCAAGTTAAATATTTGTTAGAAACTGCCCAAAACATCTGCATTTATTCAATGAAAGTGTTGAGCAGTAATATTTTTTTTTATTAACCTGTGGCTCAAAAACAACTTTTAACTAAAGTATGGATAAATAAAAACTAGATTGTTTTATGGCAATTAAGTTCTCAATGTGTACTGTACAAGTGATTCTTCATAAAAGGGCTGTATCTTAAGTCTTCTACCTGAAATCAGCTTGTTTCTGGCTCAACAGGCCACATCTTATGTTGGAGTTCATTGATCTGATCATATCTTATTTATATCTTATCTTTTTAAGGGATGAAGATTACACCATGTGCCGCACTGCGCTAATTACTTTTAAAAAAAAAGGTTCCCAGAAACCCTTTCATAAACAGAAAAATCTTTTTTCATTACTTCTTATGGGAAACAATTACGATCCATTCCGGACCCCAAAAATGTCACCCTTTTATTTTGTTTTACCACAAAATGACAAAAGAAACAGTAATAACTAACATTCATGCTGTGGTTTGTGTTTTAGTAATAAAAAACACTGCTTACCCAGTTAGACATCATAAATCATACCTGAGTACAGGACACTGGTGTACTGTACATTAACCACGTCATTTGCTTTTTCTGTAATTACACACACTCTAACAATTTTTGATTTTCTTAACATCTTTAGGGTCCGTGATGTAGTCTTAACCAAAGTAAGAACGCACACAATAGTGAACAATGCACGAGGCATGATGCGGTGAGCTCTGTGAAGCTTGTCACTTTGTATTCTAGCTCTCACCCACAATACTGTAGTTATTGGAATGTGATGCATACACTCGATATGAAAGGAGCTGTATGACGCCTTCCACTTTATTTATTTATTTTTTAACGTGAAGGACATTTTTCTTCGTATTGCTTCTTCTCAGTTTCGGAGTTGGCTTTCGTTATTCGTAATGTGTGTAGCAACTCACGTGTTTGGTAGTGTAGAACTTTCCTTAAAAGAACTGTTGTAAAAAGAAGACTGGGTGTATCCTGAGAGGCATAAGGTATTAATACAATTTTACAGTGCGTTGCCAAGCTTCAGCATTTTAAAAAGGTCCAAAGGCATTGTGTGAGATTTACAACAGCTTTCCAGTTGAATAGTCATTGGAATATTTGGTGTGTTACTCTACGTTTAATAATAATAATAATAATAATAATAATAATAATAATAACTACTTACACTTATATAGCGCTTTTCTGGACCCTCCACTCAGAGCTCTTTACAGGTAAAGGGGTCTCCCCTCCACCACCACCAATGTGTAGCCTCCACCTAGATAATGCAATGGCAGCCATATTGTACCACAACACTTACCACACATCAGCTATTAGTGGGGAGGAGAGCGGAGTGTTGAAGCCAGTTCAGAGGTGAGGATTATTAGGAGGCCATGATTGGTAAAGGCCAAGGGGAAATTTGGCCAAGACGCCGGGGTGACACCCCTACTCTATTTGAGAAATGCCCTGCGATTTTTAATGACCACAGAGAGTCAAGACTTCAGTTTTACGTCTCATCCGAAGGACAGCGCCTTTTTACAATATAGCGTCCCCGTCACTATACTGGGGCAATAGGACCCACTAACACCTCTTCCAGCAGCAACCTTAGTTTTTCCAAGGAGGTCTCCCATCCAGGTACTGGCCAGGCTCACACCTGCTTAGCTTCAGTAAGTTGCCAGTTGTGAGTTTCAGGGTGATATGGCAAGCTGGCTGTACTTTTGTTATGGAACAGAAACAGCAGAGCCCTGGAACAACATCATGGTCCACTTCACCTGATCTGCAAGCTAGCAGTAGCATTGAAGCTTGGAGGGAAAAGAAAGCTCAGTTTTCCTAATGTGGAGTCAACTAACTTTCTCTTCTTACTTCTTACAGCTCTTACAAGTTTTTCAACTCTTCTGTGTTTGATTCATGAACAACAGGAGCACTTGTAGAATAGGTTTTATATGAAGGAAGTTATGTGTTGTCTGTGAGGTCTGTGTTGGTTCAGAGACCTATGGGATGATTTGTCTGAGTCTAAAATGTTGGCATAATAATATTTTGATAAACAAGGGGTGCACTCACTCCAAGAAAATGCACAGAATGTGAAAATACCTAATAATTTGTTTGATTTGTAATCCATTGAACCTGATTTGTTTTTCCAAAGCAGCGGCCTATAATGAAAATATCATTGTTCCTACAGTCGTGATGGTAGTCCCATTGTAAAACAGGCCTGTTTGAGCTAAAAAAAATAAACATTTAATAGTTTAAAAGATTACCTCAGACATGCCCTCAGGCTTTAGAATTGAAATAGATTGCATTTTTGTCAATGAAGAAGTAATATAGCAGATACTGTTGGTTCCTTCAGTATACTTACTTGCCATCGCCCACTTATAAAAACAGCTCATACAGAGTCCAAAACAATCCACAACAAGTACGAATGTAGGTTGTTGCAGGGTTTTTGCATTCGTCAAAGGTTTTTGTGTGCATGTGTCACACAATAGGAAAAGTAGCTTCTTTTAACATTTCCAAAAGAACATTTGAAATGTTAGCAATAATGGCAGCTGCGACAACAGGCACTGTTTCTCAGAAATGATTTTCTTCTTTTTTTTTTGTTTGTTTACAGACGCCCAAGTCTGTGGAGGACATTGGGGAGTAGATGTCTGCTCCTGGCCATCCAGGTGAGAGGTAATTGCTGACGAACACCGCTGGTACAATTTCCGGGCAGGGATCACACACCCTTTCCTCTCCCAGCAGGCTAGCGGACTGCAGCTTGTTAAAATCCCATTACCATGCCAGTTAATCTGTCAGTGAGGAGTGTGGCGTTTCACAGTGCTTCAGGGGAAACTGTACGTGCAGTTTGTGTGTTACCTCTGGAGGTAGCAGTCAGCTCCAGTTTATTTTTAGCATGGTTAGAGGCCTTGTGATAAAGCCCACACGGATTTGATGATGTGGATTCCATTCTGGAAAAACTCTACAGTTATTTTACTTCAGCCGACGTTTTTGTTTTGGTGCAGAGCATTAGCTTCAGAAATTACAGGTTTACAGTCAGATACGTTCTGTTAATATCACCAGGTGTGTTTTAGTTGGCCCAGAAAAGACTATTAATTGAATACTACAGACGAAGTACTATATAGTATAAACATGTGTGCATTCCAAGCAGCTTTGACACATTCCTTCTTCTGAGTTTCTTCCCTCTTGCATTTATTATATATTTATTTGTTTGATCAACACTTATTTTAATTATACCGGACATCGTGAGTCCTTGGAACTGCAAGATTCTCAGCATGAAAAGTCAAATATAGCAAGTGTGTGTATTCTTTGTTTGCTGTTTGGCGACATGTTTATTCGTCTTCAGTGTCAGAATCTTTAGTATGAATTCTGGGTCAGAGGTGAAGGTGGACTTTCGAAATCACTGTTTAGTTGTTACGACTGGATGTTTGCTTGCATAAAAAATGTGTGATACCAATCCCTTTCAATCTCATAAAGTATGGCATCGAAGAAAAACAGTTAATATAAATAAAATAAGATGTAGTTCTAGAGTTTGTTGCAATAATAATGTGATATAAAAGCTATTATTCATAATGTACATTATTTATAATGTTCATTATTTGTAATAAACTCTTAGAATGATAGTTTAATAATTTATGGTTGTATTATCTATTTTGTAATGCCTTTATCAGACCTTCAAAATGTTGTTTAAAAACAAGGAATCTGAAAGCATTATTTTAATTTCAAGATTCAAGTCTTTTTTTAACTATAACAATATTGTATTTCCATTTAGCTAAAGATGACATAGCAGATCATTAATGAATCATTAAACGCTCACTCTAAGGGGCCAAAGTCCAAAGAGCACTCCTGTTAATTACTTTTATTGTGCATTTACAATTTCATATTGAATTGGTTTTGTTCCCAGCTGGTACAAAATAATGGCTAGAATACCTGTACATACAGTAGGCATCAAGAGACTGACCAGTTGTTGTTTTTTTTGCACATTTCTGAGCTTTTAGAAGTGAAATATTTTTATGAGATCTTTGTTAGCAATATAACCATGTTCACGGTGTGCTTGGAATAATTTTTCATGTAAAAAAATTTACTACAATTCGATAATGTTCAGGTGGAGGTGTTTGATGGTTTAAGAACTGCTGACCTTCTCCTCAGTGTGCATGTTCTCTAGTCTTGACTGAATGCACAAATACGGTCTCCGTCCTCAATGGCTGTAAACATCCACTGACTTTTTTTCTGTGAACAAGTGGATAGATGCATCTTTTCTATTATAATCTGTTCCACTTTTCTCTTGATTTCTTGCAGGCGTTTTAAAAATTTGTTCTGAGGTATCTGGTACTTGAAACAACCTTTCCATTAAGATGTGTCGTAGATTTTAGCCTTCTGTTGAAGCGATAGTGATATTTATATCGGGTGCTGTCTCAGCAGGCAGAGTTAGACATTGCCAATTTTCAGTGCTGTTCTTGCAGTGATTTCCATTGTGCTGCGCCCATTGTGGAAACTATTAAGTTATATTTTTGGAGTTTACCATTTAAAAAATAAAAAATAATCGATTATAAAAATATTAAAATTAGTGTAAAGTGTTATTAGTGTTGAGTGTATTATGAATGTATAACTTGTACAGCACGATGATAGTAAAATCAACAGTACATCAAATCTAAAAAAAAATACAAAACAGATTTCGCTTAATACTAGGGAAGAAAGAACAAAAACAAATACAAAAACAGAAAAAAACTTTGGCTGCATGGCTAAAATTTAATTGGCTAAATTAGAATGGTTTGATTCAAATTTGAAGTTGTAGCAGCAGCAGAAAATACCGATGCCAACTTGATGATTAAAGCCGTCAAGACAGAGTCGCTGTCTCCATCTCATTGCATGAATGTGTTTTAGAAGCTCATATTTAAAATGAAGAAGGCTAGAAGTGGGAGACGTAACCTGTAGGTCCTTTAACATTACAAACACTAATAATACCACAGAGAAAGTGAGTGGATTGTAAATGTGAGTGAAACATAGATTTGTTTATATATAACCTACTGGACATAATATATCCATCCATCTTCTTAACAATTTTATCCAGTCCCGGGTCACAGAGGAGACAGAGCCTAACCTGGCAAGGAAAACCAATCCATCACAGAGCACACACAGACACTCACACCAGGCCCAGGCCATCACAGGGCACACACAGACACAGGCACAAAAACACACTCACGTCAGGGCCAGTTTTCTCAGAAGGCAGTTAACCTACCACTACGTCTTTTTACTATGCAAGGAAACTGGAGCAGGCGGAGAAAACCCACACAAATCCAGAAAGAACATGCAAACTCCACACAGGCAGTGCCCCAGGAATTGAACCCAGGGCCCCAGCACTGTGAGGCAGCAATGCTGACCACTGCATCACAATGCCACACTTCATATTTACAGTATACTACATAAGAATATTTTTTCATTTCTTTATTTAAAATAAGTAGTGTTCAAAATGTGAGTGCACAGTACCTCCTAAGATGCATTGTACCCAGATTTAGCTGTAAATGAATTTGATTTCATAGCCAACTGAAATAAACAGAGAACTCACAGAAACAGGCATAGAATAATTATTGTAAGACACAAACAGTAGAGTTATATTACGTGGACAGCCATATGCAGCATGTGCTGAAGAATAATTCTGTAATACTAATTATCTCCAAAAATACTGTACATCAAGGTAAAAAACTGACTGTGTTTATGACTGATCAGGCAAACAAATTAGCCTACATTTTTATTTTTAGGTTTCTTAGTCTTATTTTCCCTTTATATTTTGCTCATCATTACTTCTCAAATTATGGGCAGAAAGGCTGGAACATTAAGGAAAACTAATTTAGGAAAATATCCAGCAAAGAGAACAGCTCCCAATCTGTTAATTTTTTTACTGTTACAGTATTACTCCTTTTGTTCCTGTAACTATAGTACCTACAGTATAACTCGAATTTAGTTTCATCTTAAGAGTAAATAAAATTCTTCTTTTTGGTGTAACATCACACATGAAGGGCACATTGTTCTGAAATTTCCACTTACTCAGTATTGCATTTTAGGACAGAGAAAAAAAAACAATTTCAGCTCTCACGACCACTTTAGTTGACCACTACAGAAAAATTGTCTTATCTAGTACATAATGTACATACAGCAAGTAGTGTGTGAACATAATAGTGCTTTAGCAAAATGAAGATACATATTCAGTTTTAAAAATAAGTCTGTGCAGTTTCAAGTGTAAATGCAGGCATTGTTGGCGTGAATGCTTCTAATTGATGATTAAAGCCGTCGGTAAAGAGTTGCAAAATTTCCCCATAGGAACTGGTTTGCAAAGACGATGAAAAGCAGGAAACCGATACAATCCAGGTCAAGGTTGAGGTTGCTCAGTGCAAATGTGAACGCTGCAAAATGTGAAAATATGCACTGTATCGTGTGATACGATAGATTCTACAGTCTATTACTGAATTGATATTGTGATGGTCTTTTCTTTCATCAGAGACAGTTTGCTACTTTTTTCATTCCCTTGCTAACTGTAACTGAAAGTGGTCTAACAAAAGACAAGGAAGTCTACTTTTTGTATTTGTTGTGTACATAAATGAAAATATGGAAAATTGTGAGTATAGGATATCATAAAGACAAAATACACACTTTCTCTCGATATACTGTACAAATGTTCCAATGTTCCAACAGTCTGTACTTTGATTTAGATAACAAAGAGAAGACTCTGTCTTTTGGTAGGTTATGGCAATATTAATAATAGGATCTATCCATCCATGCATACATTTTTTACTGCTTTGTCCAATACAGGGAGTCAGTCCCAGCAAGCAATGACCACATAGGCAGGGTACACCCTGGATGGGATGCCAGTCCATCACAGGAAACACAAAGACACAAACACACACTCACACCAGGGTTAATTTTCCAGTTAACTTACCAGCCTGTATTTGGATTGTGGGAGGAAAATGGAGCCCCTGGAAGAAAACCCTTACAAACACAGGGAGAACATGCAAACTCCACACAGACAGCACCCCCAGGAATTCAATCAAGGCAGCAACGCTAACCACTGTGCCACAGTGGCACCAGTTATAGTATCCTCCACTTCCTCATTCAGGTTACACAACTTGCGCTTGTGAACTGTTGTCTTCAGTTCATACTAGAAATCCTCTTTCAGATTGAAGTTTAGCGACTGATGCTCGAGAACTTTGTTTTCACACACCCTAATTTGGAGGAAGATTTGGTGGTGGTCTGTTATGTGACCAAACATGAGCTTCTTAGCAGATGGAACCAGGTTTTTGGAAGAAAAAGGGCTATATGCTTTGGAATCCATCCGTTCATCAGTTACTTGTGTTCATTACAAGGGGCATCAGGATAGGAAGATCATTTTTTTCCCCCTGACGAGACATTTGTTTAAAACATTTGTGTGCTTCCTTCCTGTCAGGGCGACAGCCACCTCATTAGTCTTGAAATTCTGGATGATAGACATCTCGGTCAAATCTTGGAAGCTTTATGGATTATTACAGCTTTGGATAAAATGGTCGAACGATTATAACTTTATCTATTGACTTTCCTCTCAATGACATGAGTGTTCCAAGTCTTTTATAAAGATTTTGAGCCCTTGTGAAACTGACCAGTGTCTAAAAAATATTAGAGGATTGGATTTTCAGCATTTTTCTTTT